GAAATATAATTTCTTGCTAAACTGTAAGGTTGACTAACTATGTTTCAGCCATTGCTGTTAATTTCTGCTTTTTGACTTCCTTTAAAGGAGAACATGATTAGTGCAACATTCCTGTAGTGGATGTTGCAATCCATGATCTGCAGGCAGAAAAGTGACCCCTTACTTTGTTACCAAGCAGACAAACCGAACTCTTATTGAAATTTATAAGAAAAAGTTATTTTTCATCACCTGCACTCACTTTAGTAAACACTTCTCTATTTACTTCTCACCATTCCTCAACATTTCAACATGTCTACTGAAGTGAATGTTGCCATACTGGTCCAAATTTGTAAATTAAATTTAACTAATTAAAAAGCAAGTAAAAACAAGACAAAAACAGCAGGAGAGGTTGTCCACACTGTGAAATGTGTAGCCTGTGTAAATAACTGTGTATACTGTTTTATTTTATATGTAACCATATTTTAATATAGGCCTACACTTAATATGTTTGTGTGTGTGTAGCATGAAGGAACTACAAAATTTGTTTCGTTATGCAGCCCTGTGCTATATAATGACTAATAAACTACCTTGTATACTCTCTCAAGCATCTGATTTACTGTATCAGTGAAAATTAGCTTTTCACAGGCCAATGAACTTTTCTCAAACCTCTGTTCCTGGTTTTGCAACTACAAAAATGCGATTGGAGCCACTCAAACACACACAGTTTCAAGGTAAACGTTCCTTTTCCTCATTTGTCTCACAAATACATGTTATAATAATAAATGTTCCTGTGCTGCTCTGTGGTTAACACACAAAGATAATAAGTGACTGGTTTGAACTCCTAACCTCAAAAAGGTAAAAAAAAAATTAATTATTAATTAATTTTTGCAGTTATTGATTCCCCATCATTTGGAAGAAGTTTCACTTCCTTCCTCTTTTCAAAGACTTTCTCAAGTCAACCCATTTGTGTGTGGTAACACTGTAGGCCATCAGCCACAACATGGCAACATCAGAAAACAAAAAAAGGAAAAGAAAAACACAAACTGTAAGGCCATCTCTCTACTAACAGCTATCGGTACACTAGTGACATACCCCCCAAAAATTCTTACAGAAATCAGTGGTAAAATAGTAAAAATCCAACAGCAAATGCTAATGTAGGCCTACTAGTACAGTAGAATGACTGTCAATGTTACCATGATGACCACTATCACTACCACCACTAGCAGCTGCTTGTTATGCTACTTATTATATAGTTCAACAAATAAGAATATCAATCTTATCAGTTTGCGAGAAACACTAACTGATAAGGAATAAAATATTTCCTTCAACAGAGAGAGGGAAGAAGGAACTGCTCTTGTCTATAGAGTCACCTGGACCACCCCAAGGGCGAGGCCTCAGGGCCTCACACTGAATATAAAGCAGGTCACAATGTTAGACACAACATCGCTAACTCCAGATCTCCCAAGAGCATCTGAAGTTTTCACGGGTATACTCACAGATACAGGTAATAAGATTAGATTTTTTTTTTTTTTTGGGATGTTCACATATTTTTTAAGTTACCAGGTGCTTTTTAACAAATAGAAAGATTTTGGTTTTTATGACTGTTTGTGTTTTAGAGATGATTTTTTCTGTCCTTCTTGTGCTGGGTGTCTGCCTGGTGCCTGCTCACTCTAAACCAGCAGGTAGGCTGCATCCCTCACATAGTGGACACATTTCTGATTCTCTTTTTTTATCTGAATTTGTCTGTCACATCACTGGTTAAATTTAAAATTTGGACAATTTTGTCATAATTGGTGAACAATTTAATAAATGTGTTGTTTCTTTGCAGGAGAATATCTCGGCAGTCCTCTCCTTCAAAGCTGCTTTCGGGAGGCAAAGAAAATCGTGGATGATGCGTACAAGTACTCCAGAGAAGAGTGAGTTCATCTTTCAAATTAATTCAGCACACATTTGCTGAAAAGCTATTTCTTTATTTAATTACAGCAACTCTGTCTCAGTAATTACAAGAAAAAGTTACAGAACCTCACAATTTGGACTTTATTGTTCGACTGTGTGACTTCTTCTCTTCCAGGAGTCTGAAACGAGTCCGCAAGGAGGTGGTGAGTCCTCATGATGCTCTTCGTCTCCTGAAGCAGCCTCGCGGTGACACACGCTCAGCTGTGAGATCTGCAGACTACATGGCACAAACCCTCCGTCTGCTGCAAGAGAGGGTTCATCATGTGCACAAACGCTCACTCAACGCAACAGGTTTGACCTGCAGCACCCAATCAGAGACAGCACTTAGACACAAATAGTACTCACATTGTTTTTGTGACAAACTTTCCTGGTCTGGGGTTCACTGTTTAATGATGTGGGAATAATAAAGTACTTAAAAACTAGACATATAATATTGACAGGAAAGCAAACATATTGTGACTCTATGAAATGAAATGTTTTTCAAATTTTTCAGATTTGCTCTCTGATGTCGACCTGCAAATGCTTGCCAACATAACTGGATGTGCTGCTCGAGTCAGACCTCCACAATGCAGAACCACACCAAACCTTAACAAGTATCGCACAATCACCAGCGTCTGCAACAACCTGTAAGAGAAACAATCAAGTGTGAAAAGATATTGTTATAATTACATTTTATTTTTAATCTAAGTAACATTTTTACATGCAAACATTATTTTAAGATACATTTTCTCAAAAAACTTTGCATCCAGGTGAATTTTAACATTTCAAGATTTCTGCATTATCAGATTTTGCTGTCTATTTCGACTTCTTGGTTTCCAGAATAACAATGCCCACCTATGTAGGGAGAAAACAATATTACGGTTTCTTTCCAAAAAGTAATCTGTGTTGAGTGGAAACAGGGTCTGTGAGATCGAATGCTGCTTACGTTAGGAGGAAATGCTTGTGAAATGCACCTAAACATCTTAGGCCTTACACCACAGAAGATGTGTACACTTCCCTGGGATTTCTCAAGCAGGGTTTCTAAACATGGACATCTCTTGTTTGCTTTTAGAAATAACCCACGCCTCGGCGCCTCCAACACCCCATTTACCCGTTGGCTACCTGCCCAATATGACGACGGCATCTCCCAGCCGACAGGCTTCAAAAACCAAAAAATCAACAACTTCTTGCTCCCACTGGTACAATAATCCCAGACACTGTCTTTGAATAAGAATTGTAAATGCTGATTTCAAATGTGAACTATACAATTCTCCTCCACTCTCAGGTGCGACAGGTTTCCAACAATATCCTAAACACAACGGATGCAGGAGTGGTCAGTGACCCAGAATACTCTCTGTTGGTGACCTTCTTCGGGCAGTGGAATGACCACGACCTCTCCTTCACGCCTTTCTCCCCCAGCATCCGCTCCTTTAGCAACGGCTTGAACTGTGATGAGAGCTGTGAGAATTCTGAGCCATGCATCCCCATCCCGGTTGGTGTCAAAGCTCAAATCCAAACATTAAGATGTTGTTTTCACTAAAAGATTCTCACTATAATCTTTGGCCTTTCCTTCCCACAAACAGATTCCTCCCGGCGACCCCCGCTTGCCCTCCAACAAAGACAGCTGCATCCCTGCGTTCAGATCCGCCCCCGTTTGTGGGACGGGTTACTCGGCCTACAATTTTGGCGGAGATCCAAACAAAAGAGAGCAGATCAACTCCCTGACAGCCTTCTTGGATCTCAGCCAGGTGTACGGCTCTGAGGAAAAGCTTGCCCAGTTTCTTCGCGACCTTAATTCTGATGCCGGCCTGCTGCGCGTCAATACAGAGTTCACTGACAACGGCCGTGAGCTGCTGCCCTTCAACCCTCTCAATGCGAACATGTGTGCCACTCGCAGAAGAATCACCAATGACACGAATGCTAAAGAGGTTCCCTGTTTCATTGCAGGTTAGTCATCAACTGCTTTGCAAATGGCTGATTAATAATTTATTAATGCTTTATAGATCACTAATAAGCCATAGGTTGTGGAAAACTCTTCTAAGCCTATATCCTGCTCTAGCCTCTGACCTACTTTCTGTCTAAATGAGCTGGTAACACTTTTATTGACCAGGTTTTCTGCGGGCCCTTAAAGTCTAAAATCTTTTTTTTTAGGCTGTAAAATGTGTTATGTATCTGTCAACAACTATAACGGCTCTTAAGCATCTACACCACAACGGGATGCTCGTGTGTTAGCAAAAAGAATGAGAGTATGACTTAACACAGTTAATTATGTAAAATAGGTCTACAGGCCAATATGAGATTTAAAAAGAAAATAGCCTACTGAACATTAATAAATGCTTAAAAGCTCCTTATACAACTACATTATATTGTGTTATTCCATTCATTCAATGTTTAAATTCTAAATAGACAGGTGAATAATAAAGTTTTACCAATTATCTTGATGACTTGCTATAGAGTGAGAAAACCAGGATCCTTTACTGATGATTTACTTATTTATTTTTAACATTTAAAGTAAAATTCAACACGTTCTCATCCAACACATTCTCACTCCCAGCTCATCACATATGGACGCTTGGTGAAGACCCCTTGTCGCCGCTGGCTCCCGCTGTAGTGTTGTTTTTGGACGTGTAGGGCTCTGCAGTCAAGTTAGCAAGAATAAATATGCAATGTCTGGTCAAGTTAGCAATAATAAATATGTGACATCCGGTTAGACTTTCATGATTAACATTGTGAAACGTTGCAATGTGGTTAGGTTCAGGCACCAAAACTGCTTGGTTAAGTTTGGGAAAAGATCATGATTAACTATTTGATGTGTGTGTGTGTGTGTGTGTGTGTGTGTGTGTGTGTGTGTGTGTGTATGTGTATTTCTGCCTGTAAGGTGATGGACGTGTGGATGAGAACACCGCTCTGACATCCTTGCACACGCTGTTTGTGCGTGAGCATAACCGCCTTGCACGTCAACTGAAGAAACTAAACCCTCGGTGGGACGGCGAGACCCTCTACCAAGAGGCCCGCAAGATCATGGGTGCTTACACACAGGTAGCTAAACCTGAGAGCCAGTGTTCATAATTCTAAAATAATAAATCTCTAAAGCAGGTGCCAATTTACTGAATGTAAATCTCCCTGTCTCTCTCAGGTGTTTGTGTTTAGGGACTATCTGGCACACATTTTGGGTCCCGATGTGATGCGTACCCAGCTTGGCCGTTACCCCGGCTACAATCCTAACATCGACCCCAGCATCGCCAACGTCTTTGCAACAGCAGCTTACCGCTTCGCACACTTGGCCATCCAGCCATTCATTCCCCGCCTGGATGCAAACAACAGAGAGAACTCTCAGTTCCCCAGTGTCCCTTTGTTCAAGGCCTTCTTCACACCCTGGAGAGTCGTCTATGAGGGTGAGCTGTAGAGAGAGAAATATAGGAGCTTCACAGTCACTCTGTTTTAAACTGTTACCCTAATATTTATTTTACCTCTCCAGGTGGCATTGACCCTCTGATCCGGGGTTTGATCAACCGTCCCGCTAAACTGAACGTTCAGGATCACATGATGGTGGATGCTCTGAGGGAGAAGTTGTTCATGTTTGTGCAACATCTGGCTTTGGACCTGGGCTCTCTCAACATGCAGAGGTCACGTGACCACGGCCTGCCTGGTACACTCCTCACTCTGATTTTCATCCTTTTAAATTTTCCTTCTGATGTTTCAACTCTTTCTTAATTTTCCTCATGCTTTCTTGTTGTTTACTCATCTAGGCTATAACGCCTGGCGCAGGTTCTGCGGCCTGTCTCAGCCCAAGAACCAGGAAGAGCTCGCACGGGTGTTGAACAACAACGTCCTGGCCCGCAGGCTGCTGCAGCTCTACGGTACCCCCGACAACATCGACATCTGGCTGGGAGGCGTGGCAGAGCCGTTAGTCCCGGGCGGCCGTGTGGGTCCTCTGTTTGCCTGCCTCATTGCAGGACAGTTCCAGAGGATCCGCCTGGGTGACAGGTCTGTATGTGAACGCAATGTGTATGTTTAGTAATGTATGTGTAGGATTGTGAAGGCATGATTTGTTTTTGTTTTTTAGAAAACCTTTATGAAAATAGGTGCAGTCATCTCAGATGTTTTAATCAATGGGAGAATTCTCTGCAGGAGAATTGGGGGGGCAGTGTAAATTCTACACACAATTGATTTAAATTGCACAATTAGCATGCTTATAAACATTATACTAAAAACGTGTTTGTGTTTTAAATAGATAAACTGATGCACCTAAATTCCATTCTTCATTTGAATGCATTTGTTATACTTTAGATTTAGACACACATGGAGACTTTATAGTACAGTAGCTGCTATATTCTTCATGTAACCAACCAGGAAACCAGTGATCAAGTGAATTTACATTGTTTCAAAATGATTCTTTGTTGTATCACTTAGTATTAGTAGTATTAGTGTGTAGTGATTATTACACGTGATAACATCCTGCATTACTTCAGCTAAATATCTAAATGTTTGCAAGCAGCTACAACTGTGGCCTTCTGTAATACACTCTGAAATGGTGTAAATATGCTTTTATTTAGCTGGGTTGTGGTCTGCAGTAGCATTTGTTTACTGCGCAGAGGCCATAGCTGGTTGCTGCCTTCCCCTCTTGACAGATCATAAATTATAGCTAAAAGTAAAGTTCAGTGCAACTAACACAAATGTATTTATTTTTGTGTGACAAAGTCAGTTATATTATTAATGTAATACTGATAAAACAATCTCAAAAATACATGCATTTCAAATACAGAACATGTTGATGCTGATCATTGCCCTGCTCCTCTTGTTTGAAATGATCAGGCTGTGGTACGAGAACCCGGGCGTCTTCACCCCAAGTCAGAGAGCTGCTCTGTCAACTGCCACCTTATCCAGGATCATCTGTGACAACACCGGTATCACGTCTGTCCCCAGGGATCCTTTCAACATTGTCTCAAACAGAAACCCGCTCGTCTTCTGCAACAACATCCGAAGCCTGAACCTGTCAGCTTGGAGGGAGTGACCCTGCACAAACAACTCAGGTGAAACAGCACCAAATTCACCATTTGTCACCCACTGTATTTTTCTTTCTAAAAAAGAATCTGTCTCTAATCGTTCTTCATATGTGTTTGATCTTGCATGTCTGAATCAAAACTGTTAAGTAAGTAGAAGAGAGGTTGGTTTTAAGTACAAGTGCAAGTGGTACGGTAGTCACAATACAGCTACATCTTCTCAAAGTGCATATGATCTGTCTCTTCAGCCTTTTGAACATTGAATATAGTGTGGAATAATTCTTCTAATTAGCTTCAAAATGCTAAATTAATTTGCATATTTTAACACATACCACACCATATCAAGTCAGACATAAATTTTAGAAAGAATGTGATTATAATAATACTTTATTCTGAATGCATTCTTTAAAAAGGTAACAAAGAACTTTCAGCATAATACATTTGTAAGTATAGAAATAAACAGCAAACAGCAGGATTTTGCATGCCTACTTTTTTAAATCCAACAACAAAGGCTTAATCAGTGCTGTTCAGCTTAGATTTTTAGTTTTTTTTACACGGGAGCTTTAACAAAAATGAAAGCAACACTTTTAACCTTTTGTCTTTTAAAATACTTTGTCAACATCATAAAGCAAACCAAGTGTATTTGTTTATCAACTTTCAACAACAGGCAACTCAAGTGTTTAAGAAGGCATTAAGACGAGATATAAAAAACGAGGCAATAATTATTAAGTTGATCTAAGTTGCTAAAGTTTTATCAGTAAAATGTACTTAAAGTACAGTCACTATGCCAGTGGCCCCTGTCTTTCATCACATATATTTATAGGGTTATTGTTACTGATGCATTAATGTGTTTGAAAGAGCTGGTTTTAGAAACTTCTTGAAACAAGCTGATTAAAAAAAGTATTAGAAAAATAAAAGTATCTCAAAGATTTTGAAGTAATCTATACTTTTGATTCTCTGCAGATCTAGTAGAAGCCCCTAGCCCAAGATGGCCTCCTGGACTGCCACCACTCAACACAAAGCCTCATAGCCACAATCTGCCTTCTCTATCCACCTGGGCAAGAATCAGAATTCATTCTGTCATGTCACCTACAATGAACAGAACCATTACAGCACCAAGTTTACATGTGCCATTCCGGGTCTCTATCAGTTTAGCTTCCTCTGCAATCCTTCATCGGTGCAGTAGTGTGGACTAACAACAAGCTGGTGCTGGGCAGTTTCAAGGGAGGTCACCCCTTGTCATAAGGGGACACAGTAGTGGTTGGAGACAGGAGACAAAGTGTGGCTGGAGGCCAGCGACAGGACCATCTGTCTGCTTTATGATCTGTTTCCATTAATCGGGTTATAGCCTATAATATCTTTTATTGATAAATAACTTTGAGCAGACTTGGGCACACCATCCAACTGTACACATTATGAAAAATTAACACATTTACAACATTAAATATTACTTCAGTACATTTGTTAAACTCTGTTACAGCGTGCAGTCTATTGGATTTGTCAGTAGCCAATTTTGATTGTGGGATTTACTGATTATTGCGAATATTATATGCACTGATGAGATTGAAGCACGCCTTGAAAATGATGTGTGTTGTGTTCTGTCTGTGAGGTTTGTTTTACTGTAACTTTCATATCTGTTGTATTTCTGCATTCAATAAATTTAAAGACAAAAAAGAGAGAAGACTTTCCAACATTTAATTAACTGCTGTCACATTTGGCTTATTTAGTGTCTAATGGCAGTATGAACAGGACAAAATACAGAGCATTATGGCATGAGCTCTGATTGTGCAAAAAGACACTGAAATCAGGAAAAAAAATATAGATAAAATGATAAATATCACTAGCTGAAAACACCTGTGATCAGGGATAAATCTTACTACAAATCTACACAAATGTTCACTTCACTACCTCCGATAAAGTGCAGCTCACAGTCATTTAAGTGGGAAGCATCCTGGAGCACAGAGACATGCTGCGTTCCATGGAAACTCCAAACACCACTTGAAGTCAAAGTTCCTACATGTGAACTCGGAGACAAAATATGTACACCAACTTCACAAGAAGCAGTTGAATGATGTCACACAGCAATGGCGGCTCCAATGGAAGCACACATTGTAAATGGTAAACCATAAATTAAAAGGTAACAAAAAGTATATTTTACTGTATTTAATTAAAATAATATATATACATACATGAAAAACCTGAGTTTGACATTTTGGCCACCACCATATTGATTTTTTGCAACCAGGCACTGGACGTGATGATATTTGGTCAAGACGCTACCTATAGCTTGGTTAGCTATGTGCATCTGTAATTCACGTTAACTGATTTTAACTGGCATGCTAATTTTGGCTAGCTAAAAACTGCCTTAAAACAAAATATACTTACTGGTAAAAATGAACAGCCAACTCCTAATAAGCTTTTTCAATGGTGCTGGTTAAACTAGTCCCACCCGAAAGCATACGCTGCTTTATTTTCCCATAAACAAGACCATCATTAACAAAATGAATATCATGCTGTATTGAAGAACTTCATGAACATGAAACTAACAATTGAGATCATAAAGTCATTTGGAAAGTGTTTACTGGGGTAATAAATCATTTCAGTAGTAGGCTCATTTTATCATTTCTAATTAATTATTTCTAATTTACATTCTTTCTTTTGGTTTGTTTTCTTTTGGCTTTTTTGTAATCTAGTCAAGTCAAGTCAAGTTTATTTATAAAGCACATTTAAAAACAACCAGAGTTGACCAAAGTGCTGGACAAGTTATACAAAAGACATCAAACCAGATAAATTAAAACAGGCCAAACAACAATCAACAACATACAACAATAAGATATAAAAACAACAGTTAGATACAAATACAGACACAAGCGCAGGTGCCCCTAAACAGACTCAAACGCCAAAGAATAAAAACGTGTTTTAAGTCGAGACCTAAAAGTGTGGATAGTGGGGGATGATCTAATATTTAGGGGTAAACTATTCCACAGTCTCGGGGCCACCACTGAAAAAGCACAGTCACCCTTTGTTTTCATACGAGACTGTGGGATGGCTAGGAGGGATTGGTTTGATGATCTGAAGGGTCTGGAGGAGTGATGAAACATTAGGAGTTCTGAAATATAAGATGGGGCTAGTCCATGTAATGCCTTAAAAACAATTAACAGCACCTTAAAATTGATTCTATATTTGACTGGTAACCAGTGAAGAGCAGCCAATATTGGGGATATATGGTCCCTCTTCCTTGTACCAGTTAACAATCTAGCCGCTGCATTTTGAACAAGCTGCAAGCGTGATAGAGATGAGTGACAGATTCCAGAGGAATTGCAGTACTCAGTTCGAGATGATATAAGAGCATTCAAGACAGTTTCAAGGTCCTTTACAGAGAGAATGGATTTAAATTTTGCTGTGGTCCTTAAATGAAAAAAGCTACCTTTAACAACAGTTTATATGTTTGTCGAATTTTAATGCGGAATCAAAGATAACCCCTAAGTTCCTAGCAAAGGGTTGTACATTAACGGACAGGGAGCCCAGATTTTTTTTCCTCAATTGAGTTAGGGGAACCAAATAATATTACTTCTGTCTTGTTTTCATTTAGTTGGAGAAAGTTGATTGCCATCCAACGCTTAATATCATCATCATCATCTAACACCATTTTATGTTTCGGGTTCTTGAAATAAGCCATTAAGTGTTTTCTACAATAAAAAAAAAGAAATCACCAACCATGACGGATAAAGGAGGTTGAGCACCATGTAAGTTACCATCGGCTTTTATGCCTTTTCTCTCTTATGCCATAACTTCCTAATATGCATATATCTTAAACTGTCAACAATAACTGAGACCAATGCGAGCTGTTACTAGTCTTGTAACATTATCGAAGTGAGGATAATGTTGCAGCGTGTAGCCTCATGTTATGTACTGCAGCCTTTAGCAAATTAATTTTACTTCAGTCACAGATGCTGACACCCTCGCCTTCATAAAAACAAAGATCAAGCTGGATAACATCTACAGTAGGTGCGGGGGCGGAGCTATATATTGTATATCAACAATAAATACAGTTAAATCAGACAAAAAACATTTTTACTACGTAGCCTACTTAATCATAGTAGAAGCACAAAAAGCAAGCACTAATCACAAAATCAACAAAATCTAAACATGTCGGCAATGTCCGGCAGGTAAAACACTTTTATTCTGAAATGCTCCTTGTGGTAGATGCTAGATGCACCCATCAAGACGAGAAACGAAAGCGATCCACAGAGAGCTTCGAAGAATGTAGGAGAAGCACAAGAAGGACAATTTAAAAGAAGTCATTAATGTGGGGCAGGCTACACGCTGCGCTGCTGAAGTGCTTCGGAGAGGCTTCCAGTGACGCTGTAAATAAACCGCTGAGCACATGCAGCCTACGCCCCTCCCTCAGAATTCCCATGATGAGCGTTTTGTTAAAATGTGAGTAGCATGTAGCTGCAGTACTGGAGGCTGCAGTTTCAGGACCGGAACTCCAATTCCAGGACCCTTGTTTACTTTGAGAGACGGGCTAGCTAGCTATGTTACTCTCTACAGCCCCCCGAAGCCAATTACCCTTACCACAACCACCACCGAGTGTGTGCCTGAACCTATGTTATTGATTATATGCATGTCGACCGGTTAACCCTACAGCTGCCTCACGGCCGACATGCTCAATAGTATGAAGCTGCAGTACCGACATTACAACAACATGGGGCGCAGTGTCAAAGATGCGCTTTTTGTAGTCCATCTTCAGAGTATTGTAGTTTTATCATGGCAAGTCACGTCAGTAACATCCGCCATGGCATAATTACGTCGCCTAGAAAAGAGCAGTCGGATTCTCTGAGCCCCACGGTCCTCTTTTCCTAAGTCCTTATGGATTCCCCTTCACATCGTGACCTCATGACGTTTTCCATCGAGGTCAAGGAAAGGAGATTAGGAAAGGAGATTAGGATTTTTGTGACTTTTCGACCGCAGCCCCAGAGTTTCCCGCTTGGTGAAAACATTAGGAAGTATAGGCTAAACATTTACTGACTTTTGAGGATTACCAACTACCACCAACGTATATTTAAAGGTTGGTGATGGTGCACGGATAAGATGCCTCCCTTTGGTGTGAGAGACCTGGGTTCAGTCCCCCACTGTGATATTACATGCGCAGACTACATAACGGGCACTATTGTTACTTTATGACAACATAAAATACAGCAGGTTAGTGCTGAATTCAGAGGATGCTCTGATTGATATTACAGCCTAATAATTTGACATCAGTCACTGTTTGCACTGTTTTGTCACAATTACTATAGGAGCTACATTGGTGTGATGCGCGGATCGGCTCTTACAATATCTCAATAATCATGAACTCACAAATCATCCACAGGCCCCCAACACAACAAATTATTTTCTCAGTTGTATCCCACTTCTACCGGTCCTTTTAACTTTCTAGGTGATTTCTTTATTGTGTTGATGTATGAGTGTTTTCTTTAACGGCTTTAACTGTAGTTATAAACTTGACAGGATAGACAGACAAAACTCTGCAGACTAAACAGAATTCATCTTTTAGCTTAGACACACTAATGGAGCTTTAGGATATGACCATGCCTGAAACCACTCTGTGTTGAAGGAAAGTGTGTAAGTGCGTGCCCACACAAAAATTGTGTCATGCGTGCATTTCTACTGTGCAGCATCCCTAAGTGAAAATGTTTTCCCGCGTACCTGCTGCGGGATCAATTGTGTGTAGGGCTACACATGAGAAAGAATAAAAATCATGGTCATGTTTGTCATGGTCAGCTAGGCTTTTCGTTTACTTTCGGCTTTATGCATTGCCATGCACCTGGAATGCTTTGAGGTCAGAAGTCAGAAATTTCAACTTGGAAATTTCCAAGCAGTTTGTAACACAGCAACAGTCCCCTTTTTAATAAAAAAAAAAAAATTTTTTTTAAACTGGGGCTGCAGTCTTTTTTGCCTAGGAAGGTTCCTACCTGAGTAAAGTGACTGAGATGTATTTAAAGGTTCAGTGTGTAAGATTTAGTGCCATCTAGCGGTGAGGGTTGCGAATTGCAACCATCTGTCCAGTCTACCACTGGCCCCTAACCTTTCAAAGAGTGTAGGACCGCTATGGTGGCTGACACAGTAGAAAAGGTGTCTCTTCTGAGACAGCAGAGTGGCCAGTCAGTTTATTTAGGTATATTTATTAAGAAATTATATTTACTTAATTATTCAGTAAAACCTTATGTTGTTGTGACTTGGCCACTGACAGATCACATGGAAAATGTAAGCCAAGAGTGTGAAACATTGTCACTGTTTTTGCACTACAGTCCATTATAAACCACACATTAAATAAAGTTTATACAAACATTGACAAGGGAAACACATTAATTCTCTCTGTGATTATATATCCCCGCCAACAATAATATCTGGCCCATAGCCAGATTATGGTGCTTTGATAGCGGCAAAAAATAAAAATTTAAAAATACTTAAAAAATAAAAATACTACTGATATTGGTGCACAAATTGATCTCAGTCATGACAGCAACAGTTACTCACATAACCACTTCCTCTTTAGTGGTTTTGCCTCCAAAATAAAAGAGTGAGAAGCTTGTTTACTGTAATGCTGTACTAAGCTTTTACTTTGAAAGATTCTGAACAGCATCAAAAGAGTCTTGACACACTTGCTTGACACACTTTTGATAGAGCCGTCAGAAAACGTGATTCCCCTAATGTCCTCTGCCTGGAGATACTGGGGAAATTAAAAAGCATAGGTTGATGGATGTGGTTCGAACACCAAAACACACTGCAGCACATCGCATAATGTGAGCTGAAAAACAGGAGGTCTGAGTCCTACACTTTACCAACTGAGCTAACTGAACACCATGTAGATGGAAGGCCTATATTCTCACCCACCATCTAATAGTTGAAAAAATTGCTCCGATAGAAAACTTATTTGCCAACCCCTGCAGTATAGTATCTACACTGCCTACAAACAAACACCATCTTAACCTATTATTAAGCGCTGTAACCTATAATGTAAGGTTGAAAATAATCTGCAGTATGACCTTAACATGGAATTATGAAAATCAGATTTATGACACAAAGTAAATAGCCAAAAGCATAGCCGATGAACGCAAGTAACAGTGCAATTTATTTAAAGGGTTTAAAGAGATCCAGCAAATCAGACTTCTTAGTATGAATAGTTCACAATAGTTTTATACCCCGCCCATGCAGTCGCCTGCAGCACAAGTCGTCGAAAGTCAGCTGTGGTAATCTCGAATGCTCCCATGGTGACGTTTTTTAGCGCCAGTGAAAGTCGGACACAAATTCTAACCAGCATTCCTTATTTTATGTCTGTGGCTCTGTTGTTCTTCCATGCCAGTCCACCTTTTACATTGTGTGCAGATGAGACTAAAGGACCCTAAACGTGTGTGACTGGTGGACCAACACACAGTGTTTCGGTAAAAAAACACATTATTCAGTTTTTCCTTCTTTGTTGGTCAAACTGTTGGGTCCCACAACAGTCAAAACGCCATTCTATAAAATATTTAGATTACGCCATGGGACAAAGACAGCCCCTGCCCAGAGGTGACTAAGCTGGGTTTCTCTGTAACTGCACCGAGTCAGTCTCAGGAAGGGGAAGTACTGTTCCATGCCTTCATCCTGTAGAGTCAGTAGAAGCAGAACATTAGCACATATAACATCATATCATCTGCACATGACATTTAAACCAATTAAATAAATTACCAGAACTGATTGATTTCATGGTGCAGCCTGACCAAAGTCATCAAAAGAACTCGGACTTGAGATACGGGTCTAGCGAACAATGTTCATTTATCGGAAACGTCCAATGAGCTTGCTGTTATTTCCCTTCCTGCGTTACCTAGCTTGCTTCTTGGTCTAGCTACGACCTACCGGAGGTTAACTCCGACTAGGAAGATGAATGAGCATTTTGTTTGCTTGCCAAAGTAGTGGTAGTTGATAAATGTAGTTGTAGATGCAGTGCACATTAGATGGTTGTGCTCTGTAAGCGAAAAACAAGTTACAGTTACAGAATTCCTTATAGCTATGCAGCTATGATTATAACCACGAGAGACTTGCACATATCAACTTACACCTGCTTATTTACTTCGTTGGTTTTGTTTGGTTATTTTTTTTTATTTTTATCTTTTTTCAAGTGCCCCCATTATTAAGTCCCTACTTAGTTAACTGAAAATCCTTAAGGTAACCAGGCAACTTGGTTTCCCTTTTTGACTGTCTCCTCACTGGACTTTCCAGTGCCACGGTCCCTTTGTCTGTCTCTGATTGTCCTGCAGCTTCTGTAGCTGCTGGCTTCTCCGACTTCTCACTGACAAGCACCGTCTCTCCCACATCCAGCCATTTCTCTTCCAGGATGGCAGCTGAGCTTTGCTTAGTTGACTCAGCTTGATGTCCCGCACTGCTTAGCTCTAGTCTCTGATGCTGGGTATGAATCTGGTCCACATGTCTCCGGACGACTCTCCCATCACCTAACAGCACTTTGTAGGATACGGGACCTGTCACTGACTCTATGATTCCTGGAATCCACTTGGGTCCAAGACTGAAGTTTTGGGTCAGTACTGAGTCACCTGGTTTGAACCAGCGTCCCCTTGCCTTCCTGTCATGATCTCTTATTTGTCTTTCTTGTTTTCCTTGTACCTTGAGGCTGAGGTCTGGGTGAATTAAGTCCAGTGTGCAACGTAGTTTCCTTCCCTGCAGCAGCTCTGCGGGTGACAGGTCTGTTGTAGTGTGAGGAGTTACTCTGTAACTAAACAACACTCTGGCTACCTTGGCTGTTAGTGTGCCTTCTGGGCACTTTTTCATCATTCTTTTAAATATCTGGACCCCTCTCTCTGCTAATCCATTACTGTAGGCATGGTAAGGTGCAGAGATCACATGACGAATACCATTTTTACTCAGAAAGTCTTTAAACTCTGTGCTGACAAAACATGTGCCATTATCAGACACCAACAACTCAGGCAGTCCTTGGTTACTGAAACTGGTACGTAAACACTCGATGGTGGTGGCTGAAGTAGCAGAGTTTACTGGATACACATCCATCCATTTTGAATGAGCATCAATCAGCACAAAGAACATCTTCCCCATAAATGGTCCAGCATAATCTACATGAAGACGACTCCATGGCTTGTCAGGCCAGTCCCAGGGGTGTAATGGAGCAGGTGCAGGAGCATTTTTCCCACACTCGTGAGAGTACTGGATCCTTGTCTGTCCATGTCTTCACTTGCTCAGCAGTTACCAGTGTAATGTCGGCGCTCTCCAGCATGAGAACCCTCTCTTCTGTCCTCTCCAGGACAGGTTTCTCTGGTAACGGCAAGCGGCTCAAGGCATCAGCATTGTTGTGGTACTTCCCTTCTTTGTACACGATTGTATATTCATAAGCTCTCAAGGTTACAGCCCATCGTTGGATCCTGGGTGATGCCATTTGTGGTACTGCCTTCATCTCACTAAAAAGTGACAACAATGGTTTGTGATCTGTCACTATAGTGAACTTCCGTCCATAAATGTACTTGTGGAAGCGTTTTATTCCAAACAACACTGCCAGCCCTTCCTTATCCAGTTGAGAGTAGTTCTTCTCTGCAGCATTGAGGGTCCGTGATGTAAATCCAATGGGTCTTTCAGTTCCATCCGACATGCGATGTGACAGCAAGGCTCCTATTCCATAGGGTGAAGCATCACATGACAACACAATGTCCTTCATAATTTCTTTTGACTTTTCAAATGATGCCTGCTGTGCCTCTCCCCACTGCCACTTTGTCTCTTTCTTCAGTAGTTTGTGCAGTGGAGCCAGTACCGTTGACAGATTTTTCAGGAACTTGTTGTAATAGTTCAAAAGCCCTAAGTATGCCTTTAACTCATTTGAAGGTGTGGGTGCCTCTTGAATTGCTTGTACCTTCTCATTGACTGGGTGCAGTCCTGTTGCATCCACTTTGTGTCCCAGGAACATCACTTCCTCAACCATGAACGAGCACTTGGTCCTCTTGAGCCTGAGACCGGCATCCTGTAGCCGCTTTAGCACTGTGGAAAGAGTCTGCAGGTGCTCTTGGTCATCTTTTCCTGTCAGCAAGATGTCATCCAAGAAAATGGCCACCCCAGGAATGCCCTGCAGCAATCCCTCCATGGTTCGCTGAAAAATAGCTGGGCTAGATGACACTCCAAAAGGTAACACTTTGTATGTAAACAAGCCCTTGTGTGTGTTAATGGTCACATACCTTTTTGCTTCCTCATCCAATGGGATTTGGTGGTATGCGTGACTCAGATCTAGTTTAGTGAATTTCTGTCCACCTGACAGCCTGGCAAACAGGTCCTCAATTCTGGGAATTGGATAATGCTCTAGTTTTGATACCTGATTTACTGTCAGTTTGTAGTCTCCACACAGCCTTGCTGTGCCATCTGGTTTGAGCACCGGAACCACAGGTGCTGCCCACTCAGCATATTTCACTGGTTCGATTAAGTCCTGGGCTATGAGACGGTCCAGTTCAGCCTCCACCCTTCCTCTCATGGCATATGGAACAGGTCTGGCCTTAAAAAACTTGGGGCGGGCATCCTTGTCCACATATATTTTTGCTGGCGGCCCTTTGAATTTCCCCAGCTCTTCCTTAAAGACCTCCATATACTCCCCAAGTACCTCCTCCAAGGTCTCTTCCCTTAAGTGGTTGATTTGGGGTTCCGGTTTCCACTCTAAGCCTAACCTCCTAATCCAGTTCCTGCCAACCAGACTAGGGCCTGTTCCTTCCACTACTACCACAGGTAGCATCTTTTCAGAGTTTTTGTGTTGCACTTTGACCATCGCTGCTCCCAAGACTTTTATTCTCTGTCCTGTGTATGTTCGGAGTCTCACTCTGCAGGGTTGTAGGGCTGGTTCCTCTTCCTGCCTTAATTGTTTGAACACGGAGTGGTTCATTACTGTTACACCACAACCCGAGTCTCTTTCAAACTGCATTTCAGTCTCATCCACTGTCAGTGTCTCTATGAAAGGCTCTTCGGCCTGTATATCTAGCTCCTCCACCTTGTACAGTGTGAACATGACTTCATCCGTGTCGGTGTCATCTTGTCCCTCCTCACCATGGCTCACATAATTCGCTCCCTGAGTTTTCACATGCTTACTTGATTGTTGTCCTCCGTTGCCTTTAGTATTTGAGCCACTCGCTGAGCCCTTGGATCTGCACACTCTCTGTATATGGCCAGTCTTACCACACTTGTGACAGGTTTCTTTAACGTACCGACAGTCCACCGGCCTGTGCTGTTCACTTCCACACCGGTAGCAAGCCTTTTGCTGTTGCCGCTGCTTACTGGGGCCTTGCCTTGCAGTCATCTTGTGCACAGCTTGAGGTGCCCTCGCATGTGAGGATGCGAGGATGGTGACTGTAAGTCTTTCACATCCTTGCTGGCTGTCTCAATAGCCTGGGCCAGCTTCAATGCCTTGTCAAAAGTCAAATCCGGTTGTGACAACAACCTCTGCTGGATACGGTCATCTCCAATCCCACAAACCAATCTGTCGCGGAGCATTTCTGACAACTTGTCTCCGTAGTTGCAATCCTGTGCCAACTTCCTCAGCAACGCGACATATTCCATGACCGTTTCTCCCAGCTTTCTGTTCCTCGAATTGAACTTGAAGCGCTGCACAATTTCACTGGGTTTGGGATTAAAATGGTTCTTCAATAACTGAACAAGATCATCAAATGTCTTGTCACCCGGCTTCGCGGGGCTAACGAGGTTCCTCATAAGACTGTAAGTCTGACTGCCCACTGCACTGAGCAAAATTGCTTTCTGCCAACCGGCTTCCGTGATTTCATTAGCTTCAAAAAAATGGTGAAGGACCTCAGAGTATTCCTCCCAACTTTGGGTTTGGCTGTCAAAGGGAGCTGTGCTTCCTACCATTGCCGCTGCCATGTTCTTCCCGTAAACTAGCTGCACAACTGTCCGGTTCGTGGCTGTGAGCGCAGTAGCTCCACGGGTGATCCTACTGCTCACGCTTCGTCCCTCGAGGCCGCCACTGCAACTTTATCCTCGTCGCCATTTACGTAGTAACGCACAGGAGACTTCCGTGTGCACATGGAGTAGCTTTATTTTTCTTCTGGCGGTAGGACTGAGCAGCTATACAACCATTACAGCTATTCGGCGTTACAACGAACAACAGTGTTTCTTCTTCACCGTCCTAAACTGCCCTGGCAACAACGTTTATGTCACAGCACCACCTAGTGGTGTAGCTGACTAAACTTCAGTCCTGTCCTACAACATCTGCCCCACAATGAATCCTGGATGGCGGTCAAAGTTGTTCTCCGCAATGTCCAGCAGCTCTATTCTCTTCTGCGACAACACCAACAGCATAAGATAACTAAAACAGTTCAGACATATTTTAAAACCTAGACAGCCCCAATTTTTTTCAGTATTGAAAATAAAAAAACTTTTAAAATGTTAAGTTTTTGAATTTGCATCTTGATTTCTAAACAAAATCAAGAACTAACAGTGAGAAGGAAATGTTGAAAATTAATAGTTATATTGTAATAGGGACAGAATCCTTCTCCAAAGGGAGGCGTATTGGATACACTTCCTTGATACCTTCAATCCCAGGATAAATTAAAACATTTAATTTGCTTGTTTCTAATGAGGTGATAATAAATTGTGTTGTTTCTTTGGTTTTCATTTCTTAGAATCCTACATGAGTGTCTGTGCCTGGAAAGCTTGTGACTCCCTGTGTTGGGAGAGCATGTGAGTGTGGATATATTAAAAAGTCAAACCTGAGTGCTGCCCTAGTCTTTCTTTATCATTATTATTATTATTATTATTGTAAGAAAGTAACAAGTACAGACCAGATACAATAAGTTAAGATATACTTAATTGTCCTGGAGGGGAAATTTGTTTTGCGCTCTATCCATTCTGCAGCTTCGCAAAAATAATAATAAAAAAGACATGTCTCAACACATACTCTCATGCAACAATACGTTAACAGTCACCTGACAGAGGAAAAAACATAGGCTACAATGAAGAACAAATATTTGAAAAGACAAAAGTATGCTATGCAAGTGTTTACCGTCTGTCTTGTCTTAAGTAGCCTAATGTAAATATATCTTTGTATAGGATGTGAAGCCTACTTTTTCCTGCAGTGATTCTAAAATACTCGAAGTCTTACAGCTGTATTGTATTTGATGAGACGATGTCATTGTCTGGCTAATCATTTGGCCTTTTTATTTCCATCAGAAGAGCACTCAGAGTGCCAGTAGACCTAATAATAAAATATAATATGTAGTGAGATAAAAAATGCAATGCATTGCTGTATAGCTTCTTAAAGGTCCCATATTATGCAACATCCACTTTTTTGTGTCTTTTCAACTTATAAGTCCCCATGTCTCTATAAACTCTCAACCCTTAGCTGTCTGTGTTAGATGGGAACAAGGATTTGTCACACACATTGTTTGATGCAATATATCACCCTGGACTCACACAGGCAGCTGTGCACATCATATACAGTTTAGTTCTGTCCTCAACTTCCACTGGAAGCCTAGTGTTTCAGCAGCAGAGCGTGCAGCTTGCCCATGTTAATGACTTGTTTTTAGTATGTCCTTTTTGTGCTTCAACTACCTTCGTCACAGCTCTATATGACCCGCTTTCGTTCTAATCATAGTCTGTATATAAGATCTTTAGAGCCCACAGGGAGCATTTCAGAATAAGAGCGTTTTGCTTGCCTGATTTTGCTGACATATCTTAGATTTTGTTGATTTAGTGATAAATGCTTGCTTTTTTACCTTCTACTATGATTCAGTAGGCTACATAGTTAAAATGTTTCTTTTCTGTCAGTTTAAACTGTGTTTATTGTTAATATATGATCGGGGGTCTGCACTGGGTATTTTACTTTGAAAATGGCTGTGTACTCTCTCCAGAGAGGAACGGAGAGATACACTTATGGGGCGAGTTCAATCTCAAAACGTTTTGCTACGTTTTGTAGGCGTTGAACTCGCCCCTGGTGTGAGCACAAGCATTGACTAGAGTGGCCGAGATCAACTTCGGCAGCCACGACGAAGACGGACTCAGTGGACTTTCTAACTTGGTATAAATGACTTTGTAGCAGGTGAGGAAGCTCCGCCCCCACTGTGCTGAGAGTCTAGCTCCGCTCCCGATCCACATGAATGGCAGGACCCAAGGTTTCCCAGCAGAATGTTGCCCAAAACATCACACTGCCTCCACCAGCTTACCTTCTTCCCATAGTGCATCCTGGTGCCCAGTGCCATGTGTTCCCCAGGTAAGCAACACACACGTGATTCATCAGACCAGGCCACCTTCTTCCATTGCTCCATGGTCCAGTTCTAATACTCACATGCCCATTGTAGGCGCTTTCAGCAGTAGACAGGGGTCAGCATCGGCACACTGACTGGTCTGGAGCTACACAAAACTATATGCAACACATCATGAGGGATTTTCTACTAGAACTGGCATAAACATTTTTAGCCATTTGACCTACAGTTGCTCTTCTGTTGGATCTGACCACATGCGCCAGCCTTTGCTCCCCATGTGCATCATTGAACCTTGGCCACCCATGACTCTGTCGCCTGTTCACCTCTTTTACTTCCTTGGATTAGATTTGATAGGTACTGACCACTGCAGACTCCCCCCTACCCCTTAAGGACTGCGATCACTATTTGGCCATTGTCAAAGTTGCTCAAATCTGTATGCTTGCCCGTTTTTCCTGCTTCTAACACATCAGCTTTGAGAACACAATATTCACTTGCTGCCTAATATATCACACCCATTGACAGGAGCCATGGTAATGAGGGTATTTATACAGATGAATTTATTGTTCATTTAATTTGGTATTTGATTTTTATGCTTTACTTGCAACCTATTTATGTACAGCACAGTACAATTCCATCCCCTTTGGGAGGAGATTGTGCTACTTTTCTTTCTAAAAAAAACACTTTCAATTAAGTGACACTTAACAGACGTCATATATAACATCTGTTACATATTATACATATGTCACGTGTAGGAAAGTTGTTAACTTCTCCACCAGACTTTCCATCAAACTTCTTGCATGGTTTCATTACAATAACTGTTAAAATGAGACAATGTTTCACTGAAAATCAAAGATTGGACATAAACAGATTTGTGTATCTTAATTCTTGGGCCTCACAGCACTAAACAAACTAACTGTATGTAAACTAGGTCAAACTAGCTCAACCTCCACCAGCTACAACTGTAAAATCCATGTTATAATAATCTGATGATGGGACAAACTTGTACTTTTACTGCCATTTCCTTCTTTGACTACATTTTGCAAACACTTTTGTACTTACCAAGTACCATTTGCCATGGAAGACTTTTATTTGTAATGGAGAACTTTAAAATTGTTGTATTGGTACTTTGGGCCTAAGTAGGGGTCCAGGCTTGCTGGACCCTACGAGAACCATTTGGCACAAGTTTTTAGTACACAGACAGGGATATTATCAGACCCAGCAGCTTCTTCATATTCACTCTAAGCAGGACTCTTCTCACATCAGCTGTGGATATTGCAGTGGCCAGTCCTCTGGAGGTGATGTAAACTTTAAAATTGTTTTTTGTTGAGGAGATCAAAGCGAGCATAAAAGGTGTTAAGTTCATCTGGTCATGTTGCCTAACATATGATAACTTAAGGTTAAGATAATGTGAACCAGTGTGAAATGATGCTTCGGATAGCAATTATATATTCTACTTATTATTAGTCCATATTTAATTTGCATTTTAGTTATACATTTATTTTTACTTGCTATGTGGAAGCTCAACCAGCAGAGGTCACTCTACCCCATGCAGAGACGCCCAGAGGTTCTGACTTGTGTTTGTGTGAATTTAAAGCCTTAGGGCATGGAGAACTTCACCTGCCTTCCAACTACTCTTTTATTGGCACTATTACTGTTAAAAACTCTCTCAGCTTCCACAATCTACCGTTACCTCTTCTGTGTAAAAAACACTTCCAAAACAAACCTGCGGAGTAGTATACTTTTTATTTTCCTATGCAATTTGAAGACATTTAATATATTGTATTATGTTAGGTAATTACATTTAAAAATTTTCTCAACATTTCTCATTAGTTATGTAGGCCTACTTATGTGTGAAACCTGGTGAGCATTATTGTGAGTAAAAAAAGTATCTCCTCTAGCTCTGGGGCTTTCAAATCTTTTACTGCCTATCTTGGGCTTAATTCTGTTTAATGAACCAACAGGTACGAGCAGTGCTCTGCATTGTGTAAAGTAAAATAAAAGTGAAACTGAGTCACTCTGTTCCCCCAGACCAATCTGAGCCTGTGTAGGGTTTGAGGACTGATGATAGTAGCAAGGCTGACGCCAGTCACCTACCTTCGCTCTCTCTTCAAATTATTGCTGGACTGGCAGGACAAAGCAGCCCACCAGTCCTTCCTCCAACACTATTAAAGGGCCCTGCTGTCACTTTCAGACATTTAGACCAGGATATACTGTTAGCCACATCTTGTAATTGTGGCACTGCTTTTGTGCATAAGGATATTGTCAACTTATGTATTTTAATACGTATTAATATCATATACAGGATTATGTCCAACATTAGGTCACATTCACATGTTGCTTCAGAGAGCTCAAAGAGATTGGATATTGATATACATGGGTGCCCTGAACGAGACACAGCTCCAACCTGTCCACCCCACCCGAGTCACACATCTTTAGTAGGAAACACCTGTTCCCTTTTTACAGACACTTCTCAGACTTCAGACGATCAATCACCCTTCCTCATGTTGAGGATTCCAAAGCCTTGACTTGTATAACTGGAGTGGGGTGGTGATGGAGCAGTAAATAAGACACATGCCATGGTGTGAGAGCCAGGTTAAATTCCCCCTGTGACACATCCACCAATGTGTCCCTGACCAAGACACTTAACCCCTAGTTGC